GTTCTTTGCTTGACAGCAGTTTAGAAGTAGAGACTGCAATTTTCTTTCCCCCCAAGAGTCAACAGCAAATTGAAATAATACGGAGCGTTGTTATTCCTCTGTTTAGTTCTGTGCTGCATCTGTACTTGGAAAACTCTGCCTTTCTGATTTTCCTTAACAGGAATATTAAAAGAATAGAAGAGGTACCCAGAGGTGTTGCATGGGCAATCAAATAGAGATACAAGCTTTGCTCCAAAGAATAACTAAATAAACTAACTTCTCTACCTGTGATACTCATTAGAAGAAGGGAAAAAATAAGATGATAGGAGTTGCATAAAGTCATGATCACGTTGAGAAGATGTGTGGTAATCCAAAAGTTATTATCTCTTCCAATCTAGGACTAGAGGTAGTCACTCAAAATCAGCAGATCCAAGTGCCTATATGCTTAGCCCATAGCTAAACATACCTTTGATATGAGACAGTACGGCTCTCCTCATGTTGTTTTCTAATGTTATTTTCTTGTCATGATTGTAAAAAATGTCTTGCAGCAAGAAATCTCTCTAGGGACTTTTAAAATTTCGGTTAAATGCAGTCAGTATTTCCATGTTTCTATCAGGTTATTCCCTTCATTTTACAGAGAAAGCTAGTCTGTTTTTCAGGGTTGTTTTTAATTTGGGAACTTCTTCTCATCCTCCTCCAGTGCTTGATGGAGATTTTTCATTGTCTACGAATAAAAATTGAAGAATTTTCCTTTTACTGACTTTCATAATAAGCAATGGCAGAAGGCCATGGATCTCTTTAAACTGCAGCTAGCATGAATAGCAAAAAGTATTACAGCATTCCCTGTATGACAGAGTGGCTGAATAATTTATTGCTTTTGTGGCTTTTTTTCTGAAAGTTTCTCACTACATCTGAAAAGAATCTTTTAAGTTATTTATGCAGATGTTTTGATAGACAGAAAATTTGATACAATAGAAGAATATCAAGATGAAATCTGAATATGTTTTGCTTGTCCTTCAACTTGTAAAATGCTCCAAATGTCTGAGGGCATCACACTTGCCCATCACTTGAATAAAATGCACAACGTTTCATTTGGTACTGTGTAATTGTGGATGTATTAATTACCATTGACTTATTAGAAAAATGGAAGCAAATGGACCACAGGTGCTTGATTCAGAATGACTCTCTATTGACCTTCTGCTTGTATTTATTTCAAAGGGGAAAAGCCCATAGGCAATAAGTATGTCCAAATTTGCACTTCAAAATAAATTTGAAAAACAATTGTGTATTTAATTTTCATCACATCTTTAATAGCAATAGATTCCATCCTGAAAACCCAACTCAAACAATTGTCTTATCATCAGGCTACTTACTTGATAGAGCTGAATGGATTAACTTGTACAGAGTTAGGTAGTATGTTGAAATAATTAAATTTCATCTTTCACTTTATGGTTGGATTTTGAGATGTATTATTATATTGTAGACCCCATAGAATGAAAAAAAAATAAAAGAGACAGAATTATAAATGTTAAAACAATGAAAAATAAATGTCTTTTTGTCATGTCATTACTGCATGTTTGAGCAAAATTTAAAGACTACCCAATTCTGTAACTGTAACTCTGTAACTCAAACAACCAAAATGTAAATCAGGAAGACACTTCCAGAGTCTGGGGAGGTTCTGGGTAGTGCTTAAAGTGATGAACTCTGAAAAAAAAAAAAAAAAAAAAGAAACAAAGAAACCCCTCTTATTATGATCTTCAAAATTTTCAGCTGATAGAAGAAGATCCCTTGGGGAATTTGTAGGCACAGGATAGAATTTTTCAGAGAAAATGAAATAATTTCTGGATTCAAGATAGTCCCTGCATAACTTTTAAGAATGCTTGTTCATCTAGTCACTCTGACCTCAGAAACTCAGGCCCTAGTTCTAGGTCACATTGTATTAGGATGCTGTTTAATTCCAAAATTAAACTTTCTTTGCATTTCTGATATGAAGAGAATTTTTCCCTAATGGAGAGCCTTCATAATAATTTTCTAATCTAAACGTGTCAAATGTGACCAAAAATAATATTAGTTTTCTTATAATTATTATAGCAGCATTTTAGGGATTTTTCCTGTCTGACATATTTGTGGATCCATTTCACATTATATTAAAAAAAAAAAAAATTAAAGATACTTAGTTGCTAATTGTTTATATGTTTCAGACCTGATTCACCAGTGCTGAAATGGATAGTGTACTATTCTTACTCTGTCTGCCTAGGTGGATGATTCTCTGTTGATCTAGTCAGGAAAGACTACTTGGCTATGAGGGTCAAAAGGATGGAAGCCCAGGTGGTCCAGTCCTCTGGGGCCACTAAGGAGAAAGGGCTTGAGGCAGAATGGACATATCCTGTAGATCAGCAGCTGGTTGCATAGCTGGTGTCAGCAACGGGGATTCAACGTTTTTAATCATGCAACTTGCTCTGAGGATCAAGGATTTTTATGGGGAGATGGGATCAGCGTCATAAAGTGGGGCACAAGAATAATTTCCACAGACTGGCCAACGTGGTGAGGGACCTTTAAACCAGGATGATGTGTACAGGAGAGACATAATCAACAAAATATATTAGTGGTAAACCTTCCTAAGTGTGTGCATGCACAGAAATACAGAAATGTCTGCAGAACAACATGATGGGGAATTTTTTTGGGGAATTCATCACAGCTGGATGCTTTCTGAGCCAGCAATGCTCCCCTCGCAGACTGCATTAGGAAAAGCATTAGCAGCAGCTAAAGGTAGGTGATACTTACTCACTGCTCAGCCTTGCTGATGCAAATCTGGAGTGCTGTGTCCAATTCGGAGCTACCCAGTACAAGACAGACATGCACATACTGGAGTGAGGCCAGTGAAGGGTCACAAAAATGATTAATGGACTGGAACATATGGAACATATCCCCTATAAGGAGAGGCTGAGAAGACTCAGATCTGATTAATGTGTATAAATACCTGATGGAAGGGGGAGGTAAAGGAGACAGTGGAAGATTCATCTCAGTGACAGGAGAAGAGGTTTTGGGGTCTCAGTCCTTGGAGATGCTAAAAATCCAACAAGATATGGGCCTGAGCAAGGCCATTGAACTAGATGATTTTCAGATAACCTACCAATATTAGCAGCTCTGGTATTCTGTGGCTAACTCTAGATGCAAATCACTTTAAACCAGATTTTTAATTATTATTTTTCATCAATGTCTATTAATAGAACTAGCTTATATAGCATAATTTATATAAATATATATAAATGTGCATAAATGTATATAAGGATCATTATTGTTTTGAAGTCTGTGTATAGATGTACTATTCTCCTGTGTCAGAGCACAGGCATTTGAGTCAAGTCTGTGAATGTCCTTCCTTCTAACTGGGGGTGTGAAAGTTGTCCACCTCAGCTTTCTCTCAATGATACCTCCCCTGTTTCCTAACCTACCTTTAGGCTTAGGAACACATCTTGTGACAAACCTTGTTTAGAGGCTTCCTCAACAAGTTACTGACATTTCCTCTCTTAGTCTTGTGGATCCCATCTGTTCTTGGCAGTTCCTTGTCATCAAATGAACTATCATGATACAAGAAGACAGACAGATAACAAATATACAGGCTTTGTTTTGATGGGTGCATCTGTCTTACTTGGGCATTTCCCTTTGAATGAAAAGTTTGATGAGAACATCGATTGAATCCTTGAGTACATGGTCCCTTCACCTAAGCACCCTTCACTATTAATTTTTGCTAGATCCTGTGCTTCTGTAAAAGACATTGATATCTAGATTTTCCCCCAGACTTAAATAAAATCTAGGTTCTTATTCCTACATACAGTGGAATAGCCCTGGTGCTGCTACCACTATCAGTGGTAGCGTAGGCAGTATAACAAGGGAAGAGACTATCTTGTTTTTATTTGGCACTCATTAGAACATATCTGGAATACCACATCCAGCTTTGTGCTGCTTATTACAGGAAAGACATTGATAAACTTTAACAAACATAGTGGAGAGCCACCAAGGCACAACTCCATGCCTTGTGGCTGGGAGAAGTGGATTTGTTCAGTCTGGAGAAGGAGGGGCTTTTAAATCTGCTTAACCTACAGTCTAAAAGGAGGTTACCAAAGATCTTTATTAATGTGCCTGACGAGAGACTGAGAAACAGGAGTCACAAATTGAATCAGAGGAGGTTCTGACTGGATATAGGAGAGGAAAAAAACATGATGATGAAAATAATTAAGCTGAGATGGGTTGCACATTCTCCATCCTTGGAGATTTTCAAGACCAGAATTTCATAAAGCCTTGAGTAAACTGATCTGCTTTGACTGGGAGGTTGGACTAAAGACATCCTGAACTGTCTTCCAGCCTGGATGATACTGTGATTCTACAGACCTACTAAAGTTAATGCACATAGTACTTTTATGCAGTCATTTAAGACCTTTAATTCAACTGCTCTAACTTTCCTAAACATTTCCCAATAGCCAAGTGTTAAGGATTCTTCTGAGAATACATTCTGACACTTTGCAGGAAACAAGCTTTTGCTGTCTTGTTTTTAGTAAGATGAGAGTGCACAAAGACAACAGCATGATGGTGGGATAAGGATAATTTTCAAATCTATTGCTTAATTTGTCCTCCAGGAAAGTTATCTAGGGCTTCCTAGATAGGTCTTCCTATCAACTAAACACATAGCTGTTAAGATGTGATAATATTATCAGCTTATGTTAGAAAGGTAGGAGGCAATTTAGGAGAACTAGAGATTAGTACTTCAAATAGGTTTGTTGGTTGACAAATAACCTAGATAATAAAAGTATTTGATTAGAAACCTGTATTTCAAATATGCTGAGCTCCTGCAGCTCCCACTGATTTCAGTCGAGCTGGATCTGCTGCCTAACTGAAAATAAAGCAGAAATTTCTAAGTCATTCCTGCACCCATGAATACCTCAAGATAGGTATCTAACTTCACCTAAAGTACTTTACCTAAAGAGATACTGGTTTTTTTTTCCTTATGGACTGTATTCACCCAGGAATCAAGGGAAATGTGTGGAGGGCATGGTGGAAATCTTTGACATGCTGCTGGCTACTGCTGCTCGGTTTCGCATGATGAACCTTCAAGGGGAGGAATTCGTGTGCCTTAAGTCCATCATCCTGCTCAATTCTGGTAAGCAGTGTGCTTTGCTGTCACTCGGGTAATTGTGGCTGCTTCTGCATGTATTTGAATGCTGCTTGTTGTTAATAGTGTTTTCATTTTGAGAGAGCTGCAATTGAAAGGGGGCTGTCAACATAGGTGCAGGCAGGACTGTCAGGCAGGGGTGGAAGCAGTTCAGCCTGTTCAGTGATATAGATGGGATCCAGCATATTAATGCAGTGAACAGCTGACACACTGTATAGAGCTGATGTGGGCCGTAATCAAAGCAGTGTTTCGAACTAAATGCTGGCAAGTCTTAAAACTTCGGTTACAAGACACTGGAGTAGCTGGAACCACACTTAGGTCATCCAAAGGTGTAAATCTACACCTTACTTAATTAGTGATGGAAAACTGAAAGGAAATAAGGGCAAAAATGTGACTGAGTTTATCAGAGTTTAGTTTATATTAAATTATAGGCATCTAAAATGGATGTCATTGCCTTCCATTTCCTTAATGGTTAATAAATATTTTTTTTGGCTTTAAGTCTCATTCTGAAGTACACTTCAAAAATAGGTGACTAGATAACAAGTGTACGTATAGGTAAAAATATAAATATGGAAGGTTAGCTGACTTGAATTTTACATCAGATGATTGAAACAAGCAAATTTAAGTCATGTAACAGAAAATTTCTGTTGCACACCAGAGGACGCTTTTTGGTTTGAAATGAGAAAAAAAACACAAACAATTTATTTTCAAATGCAGAAATGAGACCCACAGTGTTCTCATCAAATTAGAGACATGTAAAATAATAATGTATGCACCAAAAAAAAAAAAAAAAAAAAATTTTAGACACCATTCTCTGTATAAGTTGTTACCTAATGACTAAAGATGCCAGAGTTTCAAAATGCTGAGGATTTACCCACGTTTTCTCCCCTTTCCTTTTGGGTTTGAACTTGTAGATGGTACGACCCTCAAGACAAAACACATGTGGAGGGCTGTATGTCCTTTTTATCCAGTTGTCTATCAGATCTCTTGCCCAAGTTGCAGGAAAAACAAATCCAGGTAAATCCCAGCAGAGCCTAACTGTAAACGCAGCAGACTTTGCTTTATTGATGAAGCACTTCTTATGGAAATTTATTATGGAAACTTGGATGTGGTCTCCTCAAAGTTCTAGCAAAATTACATGTTTAAAAAAACTAATATAAAAATGTTTAAGTTCTATGAGGTATTAATGTAGTTCAGGATTTGTTGTGGTTGTCACCAATTACGAAAAAGTAACACCTGAGGCAAGCACCTGGCATATTAGGAATAAAGGGGTGTTGTTTTTATCTTGGTTGTCAGGGTGCGACAATTATAATTACTGTTTGACATTTTATTTTGCTTTTATTGCCTAATAGTTATAACAGAATATTTTCTAGAGTTAAATATTCTTCCTGGAAAGTGATGTTCCTCCAGAATTTTAGCTAATATGTTCAAAGGTAATTAACTTCTTAAGTAAGTATAGAATATGTAACTGATTTATAAAAATGTTAAATTTCAATTAGAAAAATAGAATTGGAAGTTTGAATGAAACATATTAGACATTAATGTCTTGAATGTGAAAAATTTAAGTCATGCTGTTGAGAACTTCTTGTGTATTTAGTACTGATCCAGAAAACTAAATTTGTTATTTAGACAGAACTCTGCCAGAAATCACCAGCTACCCTTCATAAGCACATCTCACTTTGTTAATGGGATTTTTTGTTTCAAGATTCCCCTAAAGAAAAATTGTAATAATGATAAAATATATCGCAAGTGAAGTCAATGATAACCAAAGGCAAATTTCCTTCTGCGCATTGACAGAGATGGGACCACTGAGTGCAGCTAGGAGATGTTAGATCTTCATTCCTTCAATGTTCCTATTCAGCAGGTTCAAATCTGTGCTACTCTTCGTGGCAGAGGATCAGGGTTTATCTGAAGATCTGATAAATGATCTGATTTTGATTGTGGCTTTTTTTTTGCATAAAATGAAAGTTTATAGCTGCTCAGAAGTCTGGCATTTTTGCGAAAGTCTTGACAGTGATAGGTCAGATGACATGGTTCAGTTGAGCTGTTACAGCATAGATGCTCTAAAATGTCTTATGGAGATGCTTTACTTCACAGGATGTAGCCAGCCTCCTTATATAAAGTGCTGGACATGTATGAAACATTCTGTGCTCTGAAGCACATGGCTAAGAGAGCTGGGTTCCTTCATCCTGGAAAAGGGAAGGCTAAGGGAGCATCTAAGTGCAGCCTTCAGACAGTTGATGAACAGGTTATGGAGAAGCCAGGGCCAGACTCTTCTCAGAGGTGCAGGAGGAAAGGTCAATCTGAAATTTAGATGAACCACAGCAAGGGAGACCCTGACCAGATGAACAGAGCAAAACCTCTACCCAGTGAGAGGTTTAGCACTGGAACAGGTTAGCCAGAAAGATGGTAGGATCTCAGTCCTTGGACATACTTAGAACTCAGAGGGACAAAGCTCCAGGCAGCTTGATCTAATCCTGAAGTTACCACTATTGGAGCAGGAGGATGAAGTAGATGACCTCCAAGCCTACCTTAGCCTGATTTTGTTCTGTGAATGCATATGTAAATATTTACAATTCTTCTACTAAAGAAGCAACAGATAAAGACACAATGAACTTCTGCCCCTTATTTTGTCTGTGTTATATATGCATACAATTAAACCAGCAGATCTCAAAATGATTTCAACAAGTAGACTAATTAAACAAATTGGACTAATTATGCTATGTGTAATTTTTAAAAGCAGTCTGCATTTTCATTCTAAAGCTTTGTGTGGATTTAATTCACTGTGTGTACAAAAACATTTCTTTATTAAATCCTTGGACATCTGTTAGTCTCTTCACATGAAGTAGTGTTGTTCATTGCTTTTGTTGGATATTTATTTTCTTTTTTTTTTGCAACATCATTCAAGGCTGTTTAATATCTTTACATTCCTTTGTCACATGATCTTGGGCAAAATGCAAGTGATTTTTTTTTTTAGTTTTACTCAGTGTATGTGGAAAGGATGGAAGGTTTTGTTTATAAACCAGAGCATACATTTACGCTACTTCAAAATTTTTCCTGAGATATTAAGGTGACAGCATGTCTGTAACAACAAGGACAGCATTGTGTCTAGCTAAATAAAAAACCAGAAGGTCCTCCTCTAAAGCTGCAGCAATAAAGCTTTTGACTAAAAAGCAAAATTTTATTTTTGAAAACCACATTTAGCTCAATATTAAAAGGCTCTTTCTCAATACTGGAAAATAAGTATTAGAAACATGAAAGGGCAACATGATGCCAGATGTTTCACTTGTGAGTGTGTCTGAAAGGAGAAGTGGTGCTATGTGGCAAAGCAACAGGATTTCATTTTGGACATGAAGAAGCAGGTCATGTCTGCCTTACCAGCACTATTTACCTAATGAGTTAGCTGGTTAGTCCAAAGAGATGGAAAGGTTTGGCTGATTTAATGCATTCTGTAGACCTCCTGATACATTGTTCCATGTGACCGCTTGTTATTCTTTTGTTCTGATTTTTTCAGTTCCTGTAAAATTGTACTTTTTATTATTTCTTTATTTTGGAGGCTGAATGATGACAGAGATGAATTTTCTTATAGCTCAGCCTGACTTGCTAAGGATTCAGACCGATGGGGCATAGTGGAAGAAGCAGAGCCTTGGGTATTTTTTTGTGAGCCTGAACTCTAAATGTAAAGATATTTTAAACTGGGTTTTATTGTGACAGAAAAGATGTTTAGGGCAAATTATATCACTGTATGCCAAGAGCTGTCATGGTAGCACTGCAGTCCCTGAGGGATCCTGTTCTGTGTATAGGTATGTTGTTATGGGCATGGACCAACAGGCCTGTCTTGTTTGCAGAGTGGTGTTTTCTCTGTTGTATGTTTTACAGTACTGACCTACAGAAAGAATTGGAAAACAACCTGGCAGCTATTCAATTTAGGCCTGGAAAGAGCTTTGAGACTGTTAAATTTAACTTTGCTGGGGCAGTTTTCTGAATTCTGGTTCAAAAACTGCTTCTGTGTGTTATGTGTGTGAAAGATAACCAGCATTTCTTTTGGGGAAATCTCTGGCCAGTGGCCTGGGGCAGGAGCAATCAATGCAGGGGTGCGGAAAGGAAAACCAAACATCATTTTCCTTGGCAGTTATTGACTGGCAATTGCCTGAATTCTCTACAGTTATTTGGGAGTGATTTATTTGATTTATGGTTTTTAATAGCTTCTGGACTAGACCTAGGTGAGAAACAGTTCCTTCTAAAAGATTTTTTTCTTTTGATGGTTTCAATGGTATGGAATTATGGGGTACTGATGCAAGAGCACAATAGCTTTCTGTAACTGAAGTAAGCTGGTCTGAAGGCACTGTGGGTTTATGAGATTAATGTTTCTTCTAGTGGATTGTGTTTTGTCAGTAATATTTAAGAATCTTATTCCTACAGGTACCTGCTAAGCTATCAAGCCTAGTACTGTCAATAGGCATATATGAGGGTGGTTCGGAGTCAGCCTGAGAAAGGCTAAGCTGAGAAAAGCCCCAGGAGCTGTTTCTGTTTGGTGAATTCATTTCAGTAAAAGTAATAATAGCTATAAAAAGCTTTGTGAGAAAAGAGGTACTATCTATCTATATCAAATTTGAAGAAATACTCATTATCAAAATTAAGAACTCTAGCTGATGATTTTAAGAAGTTGTGCTGTGTTTGAGTTATCCTTTCATTTTTTTTAAACCAGTTTCTTACCCACTCTCTCCCAGGGACACTCACAATGACTTTCACAAACATAAATTTAAATTTATTTTTAGTACAGAAGACCCAATGTCATAAAACCTACTTGCAGGTTACAGTAGTTCTAGGTGTCATGTCCTTGAAACACCCAGATGATGTTGGGAGGTGAAGTAGGCCAAGAAGATGGTAAAAAAAAAATCTCAGTTCCTCCAACTGCTCATATGCATGGCAAAATATTCTCATCTTCAAATCCAATGGTATGGCCCCCAGGCTATGAACAATACAAACAAGCTAGAAGGTATATGTCTGTCTACATGTGTATGCTAGTGTGTGTGTCTTTTTTATTAGTATTGCTAACTGCATTGCATATTGCACTATCTATGATGTTTTAAAGAAAAGCAAAATGAAACGTAATTCCAGAAACCATTTTTTTCCAAGGACAAAATTCAGATTTCTTCTTGGCTCTGTGAGCTGATACAGAGGGGCCAAAGCACAGGATTTGTCAATTTTGTTATAGACGCAGAACAATGAACACAATATGATGAAGCCAGTTTTATTGTATTACTGTGCATACATCCTGGTGCCTCAGGACTGGATTATGGTAATATGACCTGTTTAGAGTTATTGGCTCAGTCCAAAAGATTTAAAACTGATGCTGAATGCAACATCTGCCTTTTGGCAGTACAGTGTTGTTTTGACCTGATTCACATTGGCTGTGTGATATTGTCCAGAAAAAAATCAAGATAAAACACCCCAAAATAGTTTACAATTTCCCATTTAGAAAGCGGATGTGCTTCATGAACCCAAGAATTACTACTGGCAAAAACTCTTATGATGGGGTTAGAATGTTTTATAGGAGATTTAGGAGCTGTTGGAAGGGGAGTTTCAAGGTGTTTTGTCCTCTAGGAAAATTTCCATCTGGTCCAAACCTTGAGGCTGCTCAATTTCAGAAGTAAGCAATTCAAAACAGCTAAATTTGCACAGGTTAATTTGACATGGTTTTTAAAGGAGAGTCGGGTTGCAGGTGAAGGAACACACCTTTCAAGGCTCTTGCTTGGTTGGGAGGATTTTGTTGAGGTGAGCATGCCTAAATAAACCCTGAATTTGTTTACATGTTTTGTGGTAATGTGGTAATTATTTAGTCCTAGATTGACTAGCAAATCACTAAAAATCAAATGTTAAACAACATAGAAAATGGCAAAAACTGCTGAAGGCTTGGGTTTGTTGGTAAGTATTGCAGAATTCTCAAGGGGAACAGCATCTCCTCAAAGTTTCAGAGCCAAGTGACTGAGAGAAGAGCATAGCCAAGGTTAGGTCTAACTGCAGGTGTCATCCACCACTTGGTCCAGACCTTGGATGGATCCAGGCAGGGAAGAGGCATCATATTCCTCCTCCTGCTTTGCCCACAGTGATTAAATCCATGCTCCAGAGTCATTCAAACCAGTGACCTGGCTGGCAAGCAGGAAAGCTGGCACACAACCAGCTCCCATGGTTTAACACAGCTTAAGAGACAAGCCATGAGGTGTGCCTTGGGCAAGTCTGACTCCATCAAAGTAATTTTTGTCTGTGGTTTGTTTGTTTTCTTTCTCCTTCCTACTCCAGGTGTGTACACTTTTCTTTCCAGCACCTTGAAATCTCTAGAAGAAAAAGACTATATTCACCGTGTCCTGGACAAAATCACAGACACTCTGATTCACTTAATGGCTAAGTCAGGTCTTTCTCTGCAGCAGCAACACAGACGACTGGCTCAGCTCCTCCTCATCCTCTCTCACATCAGACACATGAGGTGAGAGCAAGCACCAAGTCACACTCCTCTGTGCCAAGCCCAGGCAAGGGAGGTGTCACAAATGCACATGCATACTTTTCCTTCACAGGTGGGAGTGCAAAAAAAAAAAAAAAGCTTTCCATACAGTTGTACAGAACATGTGTGCAAAACTCTTCGTTGGAGTATAGTGTGAAAGGAGTAAATATTTTCCCCATTTGTTTCTTCAAGTCTCTTCCTCTGCTTCTTGTTTTGACAGTGCTGAAAGCAGTATCTGTTTTTAAACTTATGTGTGTCTTAGAATTAAAGAATCATAAAATGGTTCTGGGTTGGAAGGGACCTTAAAGATCATCTAGTTCCAACTCCCCTGGGGTTGCTCAGAGCCCCATCCAACCTGGCCTTGAACACTGCCAGGTTGGGGAATCCACAACTTCTCTGGGCAACCTGTTCCAGTGCCTCACCATCCTCCGTAAAGAATTTCTTCCTAACATCTAATTTAAACCTGCCCTCTTTAAAGCCATTCCCCCTTGTACTGTCACTACATGCTCTTGTAAGAAGTGCCTCTCCAGTTCTCTTGTAGGCCATTAGGTTCTGGAAGGTGCTATAAGGTCTCCTCAGAGTGTTCTCTTTTCCAAGCTGAACCACCTCAATTTTTTTCAGCCTGTCTTCATGGGAGAGGTGCTTCAGCCCTTGGATCTGGACCTGTTCTAACAGACCCGAACACAGGTGTTTGAAAAGTACCAAGTAGAATACTAATGCAGCAGTAGCCTAGCTCTGCAAACTTTAGTCTAAGATTTAATAAAACTACTACTTTTGTGAAAATGTAGCCAATTTTCACAAGTTCCTTGATTGCAAATCACTCTAGAAAAGAGATTAGGGTCATTATGTTCACTGTATGGATGAGGATAAATGCAGAACTACTGAATTTCAATCTAGAGGAGCATGTCTTTTGCTAATCAGAGGAGAGCTGTCTGAGAAATTTAATAGTTGCAGCAATTATTATCCCAAATGTAATTACCTCTTAAGGTAGCTGTTCAGTGGCATGACAAGTCTATACAAAGATGTGGTATATATTTTATTCTTATGAAGGCACAGAAGATGCTGTTACATAGATTTTAGTTTTCATTATTTCAGCTAATAAAATTTAAATCAGAGTAAGCACCACATCATAGCTACTAAAGCTGAACATGAAGATTTTACTTCCTGGACTGATATTCAGCTCTTCAGGAAAAAGTCAGGGGCTGTGTGCTTCTGTTTTTTTCATTTGCGTCATTTTGTGGAGTTTCTTTGTCCTTGTGTTAATCTTCCTTCTTTTTTTTTTCCCCCTCTAAGAAGAATTTGTACAATTAAGGAAATTCCAGGTGCTCAGTAAAGTTAATTGTTGTTACATAGTTTTGTGAATGGATACTATTGCAAGCGAGCTTTTGCTAATAAATTGATAGAGCTTATTTTCTAGGGAAGAAAACATTATTTTTTTACTGGAACGGTGAGATTCATCCCACTCACTTAGTCACAGTGGCTAAGTTATAAGTCCATGTGTCCTGGGCTACCTTTTAGGCAAAGAAGAGCAAAAGAGACATCTTTAGAAGGCAGCTTGACCATTTGCAGTCTGCAATGTTCTTTGAAGCTGTTGCCTTCTGCTTTACTGTAGCAGGTGTGTACAGCAAATGCACTGTTAAGTTAGTTGTTTTGTACAAGATAGAATTTATATAAACTAACAAATATTATTAGCTGGAAGCTTTTTTGTTTTTTTCCCCCCGTAGCATATTTGGAAAGTAACTGTTGTTTGATTACAGCAACAAAGGAATGGAGCACCTGTACAATATGAAGTGTAAGAATGTAGTTCCACTCTATGATCTCTTGCTGGAGATGCTGGACGCTCACCGACTGCATGCCCCAACAGCCAGGAGTGCTGCACCAATGGAAGAGGAGAACCAGAGCCAGCTGACAACTGCATCAGCTTCATCTCATTCCTTGCAGTCTTTTTATGTAAACAGCAAAGAAGAGGAGAATATGCAGAATACAATATAAGCAGAAGTCAGAATATATAATGGTATGAGAAACCCAGCAGCATTCTACCTAGCTCATGCTTCATTTTGTCTATAGTGCCACCTTTGAAAACACTCCAGTGACAGCAGCACCTGTATTTTTCATTTGAGTGTTTGTCAAGCGGTTACTTAAACTGATTGCTTATCCTAAATGGAAGACATTTCATTGCTGTGGACAGCTAGCAAGGATTGTCAGGCTAACTTGATTTAAAATTTGCAGTGTTTTTATTTAATTTTGCACGTAAGTTTGATGAGTCCTAATCTAAACCGTACATTAATTTTACTTTAAATTGATAGGGGATATCACTCATGCATATTGGAATTTTCATGAGTGGTAGCCTTTGTTGATATCCACCCAAAATCCTGAGCTCGTTTAATCCTTTACTTGCTTGAAACTTTTAAGCAATTTGGTAGAGATTCTGGATGAGATTTGGGGGGGTGTAAATAGAAAGTTGTCTGGCATCTTAGTGTGCTGTAGTGAAACTGCATTGCTAGGGACTGCCTTGGTAGTTAGATTCCTGCCTCTTTTCTTCCTACAGTAGAAAGAAACCCCTGTCTGAGAATAATGCTTTACCTTGCTGGCTTACATCAGCAGACAACTCCATCTCAAGCTCATTCTGACCAAACTTTTAGGTACCCTTACCATATCCTCTAGATGAATTGCATTGCATGCATCCTATCTTGTCTGATCCTAGAAAGCTAAATTGTTCTGTTGCTCAACAGTGTAAGTCCAGGGCAGTGTGGCAAACAGTGATAACATAGATAATCGCTCTTGAATCAGATGAGATGATTACAAAAATCATCAGGTCGTTAAAAGAAGGTCTTCACACACCTACAGGATCCAGTACTATTTATAAAAAAATATCCCCCTGTCCTGTGCTTTGCTGTGCTACAAAGCAAGGGGTGAGGATGTCTTTGGCTCTCGTTGTGGCATGCTTTGAAAGCACTGTTAAGAGCCAGCTCACCTGCAACACCAGAACTGGGCAATGAGCCTCAGACATGGTGAAGTCTCTGGGACTGCATGTCCAGGAAGATAAATCTGTCTTTCTCCATGCATGTCTGTAACTCACAAGCATATTCCTAAGGATTAGTTTGATTCCTCAGACAAACTGTAAATATATAAAAGGTCCACTCACATCAAGTTTCAACAAGACATAAAGGAGAGAGACTGAAGAAATATATATGATGTGCTATCCAAACTAGGAGTTGGTGCTGTTGTTTGATTGCCTCTATGTTAGAAAATTAAACATGTTAGGGAATGTTGCTGGGTACTGGAATGTGATTATTACATATGCCAGGGATATTTTACTAGTCTGGTAATATACTTTGCCTGTGCTATCTGCACTTGTGGTTGACAGGTGCAGTTTGGGAGTTAGCACAGACTAGAGACTATTCCAATAGCTGGTTGGAAGCAACCACCCTGCCAGTGAGGATGTTTCATAGCATGTGTGTAGGCTGCTCCACAGCAGGTGGACACAATGCTAGAGAAAGGGTTCATGGATGCTTCTTTTACTGCTATAGTTGAAATCTTTATATTAGATTATGTTGATTGGAATATCCTGTAGTAACTAAATATAGGAAATAGTGCAACGAATGCTGTTCAGGAGTGCCTATATCTGATTATGCTCCCTGTCACACAAGCAGAGTCTTTGTGCAGTGAGATCAAGTTATATAGCAATTGTGAAGGCAGCAAGGCATAGGATGAGTTTGTGCTCCAAGTCAAGAATTCTTTAATGAATGTACATAATGATGTCTATAATAGTTTCATGTACATATCTGAGGATATGCACAGTTTAGAAGTCTAAAGCTAGATGCTACCTACATTTGAGAAGATTCCTCAAAAACTGTACAAGCCTAAATATGTGATACAGTCACTGTAAGTTAATAGGCCTTTTATTGATGCATAGTGTCTTTTTATCCTGAAAGTACTGAAAGTTTTGTCTTTTTATGTATTCAGTAAAAGTGCGTGTGTGTGTGTGTGTGTGCGCGTTAATTTGGTACCTAAGGGCTTTCGGAAGGGTCCTAAATGCCATGAAAGAAGATGGACATTTTGGGTTTATTTAGTAGCTGTTTCTCAAATGTGTTCGAAAAACCATGAATGCCTTGAAATGAGTGCAGGCTAAGATCTGAATGGAGCACAGGAATCCCTGTAGTTAAATTTATGTGCTTACACCGTCTTCATTCACTTGTAGCCCAGTGTGTGTTAGAGCTGCTCTTTAAATACTGTATGTGAAACTTGGTGTTCTCTACAACAGAACACACAGATCAAGCTCATAAGCTGGAAAGCAAAGTGGTTTAAATGAACACCTCCCTTCCTACATCCCAGAACAGTCCACTACATCGATTCAAGTGTAAATTTGTCCTAGAGGAAAAGAGTTAGTTCCTGGAGAGCAATTCACATCAGAGGGTCAGATTCTGATGATACCTACATAGGGCAAGTACTTTTACAGTCTATAGATTTTCCCAGAGAAGCTGGAGAAACATGATTTGAAGTGGTATGGAGCAGGCAGAAGGGTGTCATAATGTGTCTTGGAACATACACAGTAATATCAGTCACTCACAGTCCTAACTATGAATGCTTTCCTAGGCTCGATCCTTGCAAGGAAGCAATTTAACTTCAACCAGTCCGCCCGTGTTTGTGGTGAAAATGGCGAAGGGCAACCTAGAAAGAATGAGTCCCAGTAATACATTCATTTACACTGAGGCAGTTTCAGGATCCATGTCATTAACTTGTTCATGAGATTTTAATTGAAGAGCACCTTAAAGAATATAGTAACCTTCCCAGAGTTATCTATAAAGATGATTGTCTACGTATCAGACAGCTGAATGTAGCTATTCAATTGATTAAAGAAAGTCTATGATACAAAAATGGCAACTTTTTTCATATGTAGTTCTGAATTATGTTCTCGTGTATGCAAACAATTGTGCCTGACATTTGGTAATTGTTATTTCACAAGATGCTATTTTATGTGTGTGTATATATACATATATATACATATATATACTTTATATTTGCAGCTGACAAACCAGTACTACCTGAATACCTGGTGCTGGATATTAAATAAAAATACATAGCATGTAAAAAAAAAAAGTTGAAAGAAAACTTTTCAAGGCAGCTAATTATGCTTTTACCAAAACATTCATAGTGATGCCTCTGGACAGCCAACGAAAGAATTATTTTGTAATGTTTATACATGGATTTTTTTAAAAAAACAAAAACATCAAAAACCAAAAAAAAAAACAAACCCTCTAGAAACATAGGCAATGTAAGACCAGCAAAAGCCAAACAGAAATAGACCAGATGAACTTGCTTGAGAACATGGATGTTACTGAATTATTACAAAAAAGCTTGTGAGGCAGGAGAGGAGATAGGGAGATGTGTAGCACTTCGTGGTGTCTGAGTTTCCAATATGTGAAAGCCACTCTGGTTTATAGTGGTTCGAGCCATGTCTTGATGTCATAGACTTTGTCTCAGGTAAAACTCCCAGTTGGGGCAGTAAGATTTATACTGGGGTAAAATAGTTTAATGAAAGTTTCTTGGTGTGCGTTTGTGGTAAATTTACTATTATGTTTCAGTGACATCACTTGGTGATTTTTCTCCTTCTGTACACTGAGGGGTTTAATAATTTAAAAATGTAATTAAATAAATAATCTAAACTGAGCTCCCAGGGGTATTGCAAAAAAGTCACTAGACCTCAAATTGAAAAAAAAACCCAAACAACCAAAAAACACCCAAACCATCCCCTTCATCCAAGCCATAGTTTGTACTGGAGCATCCATCTATTTCAATTGATGCCAACTGATTCCTTAAGAGCTGTGCCAAATGTTTAAAAATAAACAAGCTACCAAAAAAGTAAAAATTCTGCCTCACTAGGGCTTTAGTCTTTTCACAGGCTTTGGTAAGAACACAGCAAGCCTCTTTTGTGTATAACCTGCTTTACAATTAGAGTGCAACTCAACCTACAACTATTGGGATTTTGGATGTAAGGTATTCTCAGCTGAACTTACATGAAGTACATTTCTTATTTTTGAATAAAGAAATGGCTGTTTTCAATGCTATCTACAACTGTGATATGGTTTTACAGATAGAAATTCAACACATGTAATACAAGGTGATGTTAATGACAGTATCATAATACAAAACAGTCCTTGCTGTCACCTGCAATATTAGCATGATCTCAAATTGATGAGAGTTTGAATTGACAGTTTTAAGTTAATATTTCCCTAATATTAATGTCCTACCCTTTCTACTCATAATTCCCTTTCATCCTTCAAATGTAGATAGCCTTATGTCCTGAAAGTTGTTTTCAAAGTGATTGTTGCCCATAAAGGGTATTCGGTTTTGCACTGCGTTAAAAAAAGATAAAATTCTTTTGCATTCTAATGTGCCTAAAGAAACAAACAAAAAAATAAATAAAAAAATATGCTGCCATCTTGCAAATTAGTATGCTCTGTAATCCTGTGTGCCTACAAGTCTGTTTCTTCAGAAAGTGCCCATTGAAAAATGAAGGGATAGACTGCTGGTCACAAGACTTGCGTTATCAAGCCACTTTATGTATCACCTTCTTGTATGTACTATAAAGCTAATGCTTTTGTGTGCACTATGTAGTCTATCAATGGAAAGTTCTTTGGAATAGGCTCAGCTGCCATAATGTATTTGTTGAAGTATTCTGTTCTTTCACTGATGCCTATGAAATTATTGATGTCTTTGTTCTGGTGAGGTATTTTTTGTTTTGCACCTAAAAAAAGTTCTAAAAAAGTCCAAATAAAAAAATCCAGTAAGCTACCTTATCGGTGCAAGATTTTTATCAGTGTATTTGATGTTGAAAATAAAGAATTAACCAGAACACACTGTTTCATTAGTTATCTTTTTCATAGTTTTAAAAATATGCTTCTCTGCTTATTGTTTTCCAGTAGGCAGCAAAATGGTACACTGCTTTTACAGAAATAGAATTTGTCTGTTTCTGTGCATCTAAGTGAAAGTGAAAGCTATTTCTCGATTAGTTCCTTCACTTTTCCCAAAAAGCATCAGAGAGTGGCCATACGTAGGGTCGACAGCATGCTAGGCCTAGTATTCCTAATGACAGCAGGGAAGCCACCTAAGTACTTGGTACTTTATATGCTTTAATGTTCTTACTATTTTATGTTCCTTATTTTGGCTTTTGAAATAGATTATAGCAGAAGAGACAAACCGTGAAAACTTATCTTTCTGTAGTTGGCTGCCACTTACCATGAGTTGGTAATATCAAGGTAAATAGTACTTCCTTTCCAAGTGAAGCCTACTCCTCGGGGGAAAAAAAATGTTTTGACTAAGCTGTCAGGAATGGGGTGAAAAGAAATAACAGATACTTTTATTGACATAAAAACACATTGAACTTAACTCTATCCTGTAAAATACTCTCAAAATTATATCAAACCACTAACATAACATTTGCATATGTAGGTATTTCAATGCTCATAATATATATATTCAGTAAAATAGAGAGAATATAGTCCCTATAGTGGTTTTTTTTCATCTATTTTCTGTGCCATACTGGTTCCACATGGGAAATATATATGTAAAAGCTCTTTGGTTTTTATGTGATGTTTCACTGCACTTAAAAGGAAAAAAAATTAAGATTATTACCTTAATTCTTAACTATTATCTCAATGATGAAGACAAGATAGGCAATATACTTTGTCCATCTGAAACCTTACCCTATAGCTTGTCAAATATGAAAGCAAATAGACTTTGGAGACTCAGACTTCAAAAGAAAGTTAGGGACTGTTGGGATTTATAAGTGCTGAGTAGAACTGAACAATGCTTCCAAATCATAATACTGTTTTGCAACATGCTTCTGTGACAAAAAGCTTGATTGAGAGTTGCTTCTTTGGCCACAATGGGTGAGTCAGAGTAATAGGAACTAATTGCACATGTACATGTGCTCAAAATAATAAAATCATTTTCAATTCTGATTCAAAGTATGACACTATTTAATGGCTTTACACATTTTTTAACCAAAGGACCAAATGAGCTCTTACGGTTCATGGAGACGTGGCTTAGGATGACAGCTGCTACATGATACTGAACTCATAGATTTAATCCCAAAAAGCAGCTAGATAGCAGAATACTCCTGCAAAATCAAAAACCTGACACTCCTAAATTAAAAACAAAACAGCTAAAGTCTGAACATATTTACATCTGCAAAAATCATAACAATTTGAATGAGCAAATGAATAAGCAAAGAATTGCACATTACCTGAGATTATGCATTCTTTTGCCCATCTCTTTCTGAAGCACAGTGTGACTGCACAAGTATCACAGTGCAGTGACCTGGGAATGCACCACTGGAGACTGTCTACTCCAATTCCTGGCTCAGAGCTGGGTCACCTAGACAATTGTGCAGGGCCATGTCCACAGCCACAAAAGGAGACTCTACTACCTCTCTGGGCAGCCTTTTCCAGTGTTTGACCATCTGCACATTGAAAAATGTTTTCGCTGTGCTCAGATGGAATTTCATGTGGTTTAATTTGTGCCCATTGCCTTTTGCCCTGTCAGTGGGCACAGCTGAAAAGAGTCTGTTTCCGTTTTCTTCATTTCCTCCCATGATGTGTCTCCTGTGATAGGAGAAAGTGGGTGAGATGTCACCTTGCTCATACACCCAAAGGAGGAACCTCTGGCCCTTTTGAACCTCTGGCCCTCAAAAGGGCCTCTGCAGCCAGGAACTGGGCACTTTTCCATAGTCAGGGGCCATCTGGGACTCCAGCTTCATTCCTGATTTCTTATGTCTGTTGGATGAAGTAATCTGCGAAGTGATAGGGCAAGGACATGCCTTTCTATTTCAATGCAGAACTCTTGTAGCTAAAACTCCTGGCTCACCTTTATGGGGCTCATCAGTCTCGTTTCTCTCACTACATAAACAACATCTTGCAGAACAGCTGCCTACTCCCATGAGGAAGCCCATGTATACACACACAGCTGTATACATTGGGCTCCCCCGCACTCCTCCTTTCTCTCCTTCCTGACATGTAAGTGATGACTGCCTTGTTCCAGCATATTTTATTCTAATTAACTAATTAGAAAAGTATGATATGGTTAAGGCATCATCAAAGAACATATTTGACTGCTTTTTTGTTTGTTGAGACAATCCTTTTGTTATGCAAAGACAACAGCTTCAACTGTTGCAATGACATAGGCTTCAACTTGGTGTTCTCAGTCAATGGAGCACCATCCCTTGTTAAAAGCCTTTTGGCCATGCTTACTCCTCAAAATTAAATGACAGAATTTAAAAAAAAAATATTCTCCATCCAGATACTGCAACATTAAAAGCTCCATGAAGCAGCTGTTTCTTATGCTGGAAAATTCTTACATCTCTTTCCCCTGCATTACACTGCTTGTCTCCACCACCCACGCAGCAAAGAGAAGAGGAAAATCCAAACATGTAAAATAGCACTCATCAGTGTGCTCACAGAGAAAGAATGCCCAGGGAAGGGCACTGCATACATACTTTTTCTTATGCCCAGCCAGGCTTCAATTACTACCATTCACTGTGGCATCCTGCAGACACAGAAACTCAGGCGAAAAATGGTCATGAAGTCTTCAGGAAAATTGACCATCAAAATAATAACATTTGGCACTTATCTCAGCAGGAGCAAGGCTAACTAGCTCTCACGTCCATTTAAGATCTGTGTGCTGCAGGATTTAGGTGTCATTCTGCTAATGTCTTCATTTCTGCAGGCATACAGGTGATGTAAAATTTATCTCCTGCTGTTTTCCATTCCTACACATTTCCGCACAACTTCAGAATGTTACCATTTTAAACAGATGAAAAATGTGCTTTTGAGGAAAGGCTGTGCTTTCAGGCATTTTTTAGCCAGATTTTGCAAGGCATTTGGGACTGTAAGATATTTAGGTCCTCTACACATAAAGACTAAATGCTACTCTCTAAGACATAAAGATTTGCTTCTTGACAGATTTCTTTTTATTTTTCACTCACCTCTTCAGAACTTGTGTCATCCATGGAAAGGTGAACAAGTATGTTATACTGCAGAGATAAGCAAAAGGTGTTGCCCATTTTGCAGTGAGAGTCACATTAGGGCTTGAAAGTTTAGGTATTTGTATGAAAGCATGTTCTCCCATGCCCCCATGGTCTGCATACCTGCCTGCACAATGCTTCAAGTTTAGCAAAGGAGTCAAAATTGCAACCATGTGTTTTAACCTACAGCTCCATGGTCAGGAGAATCTCACAAACAATGTTTGAGTTGTTTATAAAGAGAATACTACAGCCATGAATGTCCCACTTCTTGGACAGCCTTGTGAACACTTACATAAAAAAGTGTACTCTCGTACACTCTTCCAGTTGTTTTTTAAAAACATCTTTTCTAAAAACAATGGAATGGAAAAAACCACAATTACAACATCCATAACAGTCCCTCAGAAATTACAACATGCCTGAAAATGCAGAGCCTGACATGAGTAACCTTTGTGCAAACTACATCCACATCTGCATGAGCCCTGACCAAAAGAGCTCTGTGGTGCACCTCTCTCCTGACCAAGAACACCTCTGATACAAGAACTGGACAATACTTTCCTAAAGCATCCTCTCTCTTCCAAAAATTAGATGTGCCAGTGTTTTATTCAGACCTCACTGTGGTCAAATCCATTTGCCATGTCTCAGGTCTTTAAATAGATTGCTACTGAACAAAGCAGTTTTGACCAGTTCATTTCTGGAATGATATATTAAGCAGCACCAAACAATAGATGTTGCAGCTTTCAGTTCCTATCTGCTTTTAGATCAATCATTTACCATAATTCAGATTTTTATCATTTAGTAGGCCTTAGCCTATGACAAATTTTCGGTGCTTCAGCTAGGAGTTATTAATTTCATTTTATCTTGTTTCACAGATTTTTGTCTATGGCTTTCTGAGAATACACATTAATTCTCTAAATCATTCCTATTTATTTATTTATTGAGGAATATTATTAGAACATTCAAATGTTCTTAATATTCTTAAAACAAGCATAACTTCTCCCAAATATAGGTTTGACACCTATGTCTCTCTAGGTCTAAATAATGGCCAAAGAGAGCAACAACAACAGAATTCAGCTGGCTGTAGTGCATTTCACAACATGCTGCCAAGGTTAAAAACACCCAGTACTTAGACTAGTTCCCTTATGTAGGGAATTCTGTGCCTATAATACAGACAAGCCAGAAGACAAATGACGTCCTCCCTCCACCCCCTCCCTTACTTCTGAACTTAAGCAAACACTGTTTTAGATGAATTGTTCATTTGACTGCTGCAAGAGTTGAAAAATTTTATAACCAGATCATCCAGCTTAAACGAAACCTCACTGTGGCATTTTCTGCTCTTTTCTTTTCCATAAGCCATTGCTTTAAACACCAAATAAAATATGACAAGTGCAGGAAAATGAGAAGATCAATGGTCTCTTCTCTTGCTTAAGAATCTGCACTTCTTCTGTTTGACTCTGCTCTTATTTCCCAGAATCCTCCTACAGTTGCTACATCTTGATAGCATCTGTAGTTTGAAGGCTGTGAGCAACCAGTTTCTGTTATGCCTTTGAACACATTCACACACACACACACTCTCAGATGCACATGATGATGATAAACATGTTGAGAGATACTATCAGATGTAAACAGATTTCTCAACCACAAATAGCACAAAACCGAGGGCCAGGGATGATTGCTCGTAAGACAATCCCAGCGGCTTTGTTCTTGTTCAATAACCAGCTGCAGGAAAAAGTTCTAAGGAAGGAGAACGTGATACTGCAAGTGTTCACAGCATTTGCAGCAAAGCTGGAAAGGTGGCAAACCAGTGGCAAGAAACTACCAATCTGTAGCAGAAA